TGGCTCGTACGCGTCCGCCATTTCGTCGAACACTCCACGCAATGTTTTCTTCTTCGCAGCTTTTATAGAGCGAAAAAAACGAACAGACTCATCGTCAAGGAGAGTCGGAAGCACCTCCAGCGCCTCGGCGTCCGTCCACCTTGCCGTTCGTACCGCCGCCAAAAATCGACAAGCGAACGCACTCCAATCGCCCCCGATGGAGAACTCCTTAACAGTCGTAAGGTGACGACTGCGGCTCCTTGGTTGCTTCCGTCCGTCACCGACTCTTCCGGCGGCAAGTTCAGCAAGGCGTCGCAACGCGGTGTCGCCAAGATGGCGGACGATCTTCGTGGCGGCCCCAAGATGGCGGCTTCCCGCCTTCCGTGGTGCGCCACGCCCAAGATGGCGTCTTCACGCCGCGTGGTCGATGGCGGCGCCATCGAAGACGACCCGGGCTCCTGCCGATCACCACCATCACCTTCCAACGTCGCCCTTGGCGTGACAAGGTCACACAACTCCGTGATGACGGTTTTTAAGGTCGCCAGTTGCTCCGCCATCCGGGTCCATCTTAAATCTTCGTCCTTCAACGCAGATGGGTCGGGCGCAGTGGCAACCTCCTCCACACCCGGGCCTTCACGGATCTCTCCCTCCGCCGAAGTGAAGCCGACCTCAGGAGGAAGATCGTCGTCGTCCGATGATGAAGCCGACGCCGGAGATGGGATATTCTTCTTCCTCAGTTGTTTCGCCATGCCGTTTCACTTCTGACTCCAGTGTAATAAAAGGACTCGAACACTTCTTTCTGTCTTCGTGTCTTTATTCAGGTTCACGTCTTTACCCACACGGCACTCTGTTATAACTCCTGTGTTTGTAGCCCCCGGCTATTCACTGCTATTATAGCTTCCTCTCCCCTCTGACTCTCTGCTTCATCTATTGTAACGTCCTCCCTGCAGACTTGCTGCTACCCCTATGTGCAGACCCTCTGGCTGTCACTGTATGCAGACCCGCTGCCCACTCTCTCTGTGCAGCCCCGCTGCTGACTGCAGCCTCCTTGCTGCTTCGGGTCGGTCACCGCTGGCCTACGGTGCCGATCCTCGCTTCCCCCGTGTTCGTGGCGATCTCGCCACACCCCGCTTCGCCCTACGTGGCCTTCCTCTGTTCCTGGCTCCCCGTCACTCCCCCTGCTCTTCCGGTTCCCCTCCTTCTATACTCAACCCCTCTCCCCCCACGTGACCTAACTCCTCCCCCCCCTGACGGCACCTCAGAAGGGCCGTTTACAACCGCATTACACATACACAAGCTCCCCACTTCCTCTGCCCCTGCACACCACACGATCAGCGGGAGCAAGGTTACAGAGTGTCTCCCCTGGCTGCGTTGGCCACCTAACGCAGGGAAAATTTTACAGCGTGCTGCCTAAACCCCCGCAACACTGGTCTACCATTCCTGCGCCACTCAACACACGCACACAGAGAACATACCGCAGTCTCATACACTGAGAATAGGTTTTCCCCTTTCTTCTGGCAACAAAACAGGTGTTAAGATGTTAAAACACCAAACTGAAACCTTTTACAAGGAATCATGTCTGCATTAACCACAATACTTGTGATCAGAATGCAAACAAAAAACATTCTCTGATAATATATGCATTGTCTTTGAAACTGATTGGTCCATACCAGAGACAGCTTTCTTTCGAGCCTAGTCTCAAACGGTGTTAGACCAGAGGACGCCAAAAGTCGTCTTTTGGCGTCCCCTGGTATAACACCAAAAGCCGACGAACACAACAACATCCATGCAACATTTGCAATGCATAGCAACAATCCAGCCCCTAAAATAACAGCAACCCAATGCTGAGTAGTGGTGGTCATCTGAACCCAACCGTCTAGGAATGCGTCCTTTTAGCCTGTCCCTTGTATGGGCCCGGTTTGGGTCCTCCAGGGACCCCGGAGGTGACTCGCAGCTGGCCCAACGGGCACGGTCCCCCCCGGGACGAAGATGGAGAGGAAGAAATGGGTGGCGGTCGTACCGTCCACCCCGGTCCGCCTGTGGGTGGCACCGCCAGCGGTTCCATACGCGTCAAGCCCTGGGATCCTGCGGATGGAGGAACAGAGTCTCGCAGATGCGCAACTTCCGTAAATCTACGTCTGTCCCCGTTGGACACATCACACATCCCGGCCATCAGATGGCGGTGATGAAATTCCCTCATAAGGTGGAAATTATGGTTTCAGTCGTGATGGGTGCACATACCAACGCGTGCGACCAACCTGGATCCGTACACACTGCGGCCTCCTAACCTCAATGAACTCCACCGGGCCCTGCCATGGCCTATGTAATTTAGGAGATGTGCCCACAGGCACCTGGGGGCAATGCAGCCATGCCCTCTCCCCATATTTCCACGATTTTTCCGATTCCTTAAGCCCAGCCAGTTTATCATTTGCAGCCTGCCGTTTGGCCGAATTTCTCCAGGACACCTCCCATGCTTCCATCAAGTACTTTAGGGTGAGGCTCATCAGTCCCGGCACAGCGACTCTCTTTTTGCTTGGCTCAACATTTAACTGGGCTTCCATGGGGGGGATCGCATTCTCTCCCATACGTAAAAAAAAACAGGGAAAATCCGGTAGAGGCATGAGGGGCCATCCTATCGGCCGCAAGAACTCCCAGAACGTATAGGTCCCAATCGGACTGTGCCTCGTTGACTGGTTGACACAACATGGACATAAGTGTCCTATGTAAACGTTCCACCATCCCGTCAGTCTGGAGATGGTAGGGTGAGGTTCGAATTTTCTTCATACCCAACAAATCACATACCTCTTGCAACAATTTTGAAGAAAAATTTCAGCTCTGGTCCTTAAGGAGATGTTCCGGGGCCCCCTTATCCAATACATAACCATGCAGGAACGCATCCGTAATGGACTCCGCCGACTGATCCGGTAGGGGCCATGGCACCGGCCACCGTGACAGGTACTCTACCCCTACCAGCAAGAATTTATTTCCCCTCAGAGTGGTAGGAAATGGCCCGAGGATGTCGAGGGCATCGAGCTCATTTACACGGGACACCCCAATGGGCTGCAGTGGTGGTCAGGTCAGTCTCGACGGGGGCTTCTGGCGGGCACATTATACATATCCCTTGAGCACGTTATGAACGTCCCCTGCCATCCCCGGCCATAAGAACGTAAACAACGTTTTCTGCACGCTTAGGTGAATCAATCACACATGGGCAGCTCTCGTTACTCTACCCCGCAGAGCAGTTGGCACCACGATACAGTACCGCTGTACCTCCATATCCCAGCGCATAAGTAGCCCATCTCAGAGGACTACGGGGGACATACCCCCTGGACCCTCCCTATCGCTTGGTGCATCAACACGGTGCTGTAACTTTAGTAAGGAGGTGTCCTCTGCTTGGAGGTGCCTCCATTCCTCTTGTGCAAGACCAATAGTATTATCGCACGCCACCCCCCGTACAGGTGGCGGAGCATCCACCGATTCTACCACGGCACCCGGCTGCCCCGCATCCACCTGCTTACAACAGCCGGCGCCCATCAAACATGCGCACTGGCTCTTCGGCGATAACCAAGACAGAGCGTCCACGTTGCAGTGGCACAACCCCTTCCTATAGGTGACTTCAAATTAATAATCTTGCAAGATTTCCAACCATCGCGAGAGTGGTGCGGACGGCTGGTCAATGTGTAGCGCGTATTGCAAAGCCGCGTGATCTGTGCGTACCATGAACTGCCTTCCGTAGAGGTACGGGCAGTACTGTTGTACAAAGTGCACGATAGCCAACAACTCGCGGCACCTAACACAATAGTGCTGCTCTGCGGGGGACAGCACCCGGCTAACGTAAGCAACCACGCTCTCCACCCCGTTCTCTATATTGTCATGGTTTTGGCAACTGCCATGACAATAGATCCAGGGTGGAGAAAAACCATGCCCCCGACAGGGCATCCAACGAATGTCCATCCGTGGGAGTGGATACGCGTCCGCCACGGAGACTTATATAATTTCCGAAAGTCCACACAGAACCGCAAACTCCCATCCTTTTTAACCAGGACAATGGGAGCACCCCAAGGACTGGTTGACGGGGAGATTATATCGGCGGCCAACATCTCGTCAACCGCCTGATGAACGTAGTCCTTTTCCTTCGAACTAAACCAAAATGAGTTCTGACGAATGGTAGCGGTAGCAGCAGCAGCGACGACGGCGACAGCTGTGGAAACGCTATCCCTCTCTCCGTGGCACTGGGCTGCATGCTTCGGGTTGCCCAGCTGGTCCAGGAGGGACAGTAACAGCAGTGGCGATGGCTGCGGGAAGTCGCTCATGGCGTTCGACGGAATGGCAATGACGTCCCGCGCGGTCGGCGATGGCGACGGACTTGGCGATGGCTGTGGAGAGCCGCTCTCCCTCCTTCCATCGGCTTCAGCGGCAGTATGAGTGAACATCTCTGACAGCCGGTCTATCTTTTCCTCGAGAGGCGGCCAGGAGAAGAGGGGGTCTCTGGAGTTGGGCCATCCGTATTTGTGGATTTTTCTCCCTCACTCCCCTCCTATTTCGCTTCCGTGGACTCTCCGCGTGGGCATCTTCTACTCAAGCGAGGCATCTTGTAGGCTATCACTGCCACCGGAAGAAAGGCAGTCCACACGAGTTGCCTCTTCAGTAAGGCACTTTATTCTCCCCAAACAGAAAGACCTCACGATCTTGCCATGCCTCCATTTGCATCCTCTCTCTCCCTGTTTCTTCTAGAACCTTTGAGGAGGTTCTCTCTCTCTCTCTCTCTCCTCCTTCTCCTCCTCTTCTTCACCAATCCTCTTCTTTCATCCTCATACACCTCTTAACGTCTTTCACCTCGTCATCTCATTTTTCCGCCTTTTCCCCTACTTCAACCCCTCGGTCAATCCCACGTTCCGTTCCCACCAGCCTTCCCATTCTCACACTTTTGGTTTGTCTATTATAGGCGTTCATCAGTGACCCTCGCTGCACCTGCGTGTGTGAATGCCTGTAAATATTGTGCGCGTATGCACGTTTTCCAGATCCCAGTTGGTTCGGATGCGGACGGAATGAATATTCTGGGACTGGTGGTGTTTGCCATTGCCTTTGGAATTGCTCTGCGGCAACTTGGGACAGAGGGAGAGGTCCTCATTCGCGTGTTCAACGTGTTTAACGAAGGGACCATGGTGCTCGTGTCCTGGATCATGTGGTGAGCTGACAACCTGTGTGGGTAATTGTCTTATGAACACAAAAGAGAAGTGTACATCATAGCTGTCAACCCCTTATCAGTGTCTACCTTATTAGACCAATTCAGACTTTATTGGTCACCCCGTGTCCTTATAAATATCAACTTCATCATACAATGTCCCAATACAAAAAATAGACTAAAGATGTGCCCTATTGATAATAAGGTTTTCCCCTTTTTTCTGGCAACAAAACAGGTGTTAAGACGTTAAAACACCAAACTGAAATCTTTTACAAGGAATCATGACTGCATTAACCACAATACTTGTGGTCAGAATGCAAACAAAAACATACTCTAATAATATATGCATTGTCTTTGAAACTGATTGGTCCACACCAGAGACAGCTTTCTTTTGAGCCTAGTCTCAAATGGTGTTGGACCAGAGGACGCCACAAGGCATATGCCTTAAAGCATACGCCTTTTGGGGTCTAACACCATTTGAGACTAGGCTCCAAAGAAAGCTGTCTCTGGTGTGGACCAATCAGTTTCGAAGACAATGCATATATTGTCAGAGTATGTTTTTTGTTGTATTCTGACTACAAGTATTGTGGTTAATGCAGACATGATTCCTTGTAAAATGTTCCAATTTGGTGTTTTAACATCTTAACACCTGTTTTGTTGCCATAAAAAAGTGGAAACCCTATTCTCATATTTTGGTACTGGCAAAGGAGGTCCCATGATAGATCACTGTGTCTCTGCATCCTTCTCTGTCCTGTATATATCAATCTATCTCTATCACTTTGTCTCTGTTTCTCCTTTCCTCTGTTCTCTTTTCTACCTCTCCCTCCCTCTGTATTCCTCTCGTCCCTCCACTTGCATCTCACCACTTCCTTCCCCCCTATTTATCTCACTTGCCCTCCTCATTTCCACCTTTCCCATTATAATATCTTGCCTCTCCCTGAGGCTCACTCCCACTGCTTGTTGCTTTCCTCTTTCCGTTTTGCTCTCTTTTCCTCTCCGTTGAATGTCCTTTCACTCTCTCCCCACCCCTCTCCTCTGTGTTCCTGTCTCTTCCACCTCCCTCTATCTCATTCCCACCTCCCTCTATCTCATTCCTCACCTCACTCTATCTCATTCCTCACCTCACTCTATCTCATTCCTCACCTCCCTCTATCTCATTCCTCACCTCCCACTATCTCATTCCCCACCTCCCTCTGTCTCATTCCTCACCTCCCTCCTCTATCTCCCACTTATATCGATCCACGGCCATAGTGGAGGGTGGGGAGGGGGGAGGCGTGACGTCAGCACGAACGCAGCTCAACGCCGTGGGATGCGGGTGACGTCACCACGTGAAAGTGCGTGGGGACGTCACTGCTTCACATGTGCGCCTGCGCACCAGAGAGCTAGGCAGACAGGAATCCAGGCAGGAAGCCAGCCAGATGTTTTTTCCCCTTCTAATTGAGTATGAAGTATGATTATCCCTGAGCCGCTTGACTTGGCAGAGTTTTTATAAATGTTGTACAAAATGTAAAACACATTGATAAGATTTGCTTCAACTACGTTGCACGTTTGCTGCTGCGTGCAGGTATGCCCCCATTGGAATCATGTTCCTGGTGGCCAGCAAGATTGTGGAGATGCAGAACGTGGTTCTGCTGATCACTAGCCTGGGCAAATACATAATGTGCTGCGTCGTGGGGCAGCTCATTCACGGCCTCATTGTGCTGCCAGCGATCTTCTTTGCGTTCACGAGGAGGAATCCGTACACGTTCCTGCTTGGTATCCTCACAGCCCTCACCACCGCCTTCGGCACCTCTTCAAGGCAACAAATTTTCCTTACGTTTAACATTTACAGAGCACCGTGTAAACACGTCTAGGAGAGCATTTGTGACAAGGATATGTTTTTATACTGTATATTACTTAAATCGTTTTCCAACACGATCGTATATAATCTGTGGTTAAAATGGAAATTTCAAAGTCTGGTGTCAAAAATATTCACCCTGCAGTCCATGTCCTTTTCCATTTACCCTTAAAAAAACAATTCATGCTTGAGCTTACACTGATTTGAGAAATGCCAGTTTGGTGTACCAGCATATTGCATTTACACCATCGTGCAAAATGCATTATCTAGCCCAGTGGTTCTCAGCCTTCGTTGCCTACTATGTAACCCCCCCCCCCCCCCTTGTTGAGTTTAGTTTCAAGCGAGTAAACCCCCTTGGCTGATGCAAGCGTGGTTCTGAGAAATAAATGTAATGAATCATGAACATCAATATTTTAACCAATTGTCGATTGTGTGAGGTATATCCTAGAGCCAAGTAACTGCAAGCGAATTTGACAAAATTAATATTCAACGGACGCTCTGCATGGGTGACATAATTTGTTCCCGCTTGCTGGTTACTCTTGTAAACCATATTGTTTATGTTGAGTTTAGAAAGGTCATTTATACCCTTCTCGGTCACTATATGGATTACATTTTATCGTCGGCTATTTATATTGGCAGATTCATACATGATTACTCACCAATGACTCTCATGTGTGATATAATTGCACACATTTATAAATCACCTCATGTACCCTCTGGGACATTGCCATGCGTACCCCCAAGGGTCTTCGTATCCCCGGTTGAGAACCACTACTGTAATGGTTCCTCCGTAGTAAAATGGTGCCATGTTTACCCTTCTTTGTGATTTCGTGCTGCATGCTTCATATACAAGTTTTAAGATTTGACTTTATATCGCTATATTTCACGTTTTTTGTTCCTACTGAAATCAGGATAATAAAATGAATGAATAATAATTTATTTTATGTAGTAGCATTCATGCAATTTTTCATCTCAAAACGTTTAACATCGCAAACCACATTAACATAAAAAAATGGCAGCCCCAGGAAGCAGCAGGCCCAGACCCAGGAGGCAGAAGTTTCTCAGACAGAGCCAGGGTGCAGCAGTTTCTCAGACAGAGCCAGGGTGCAGCAGTTTCTCAGACAGAGCCAGGGTGCAGCTGTTTCTCAGACAGAGCCAGGGTGCAGCTGTTTCTCAGACAGAACCAGGGTGCAGCAGTTTCTCAGACAGAACCAGGGTGCAACAGTTTCTCAGACAGACCCAGGGTGCAGCTGTTTCTCAGACAGAACCAGGGTGCAACAGTTTCTCAGACAGAGCCAGGGTGCAGCAGTTTCTCAGACAGAACCAGGGTGCAACAGTTTCTCAGACAGAGCCAGGGTGCAGCAGTTTCTCAGACAGACCCAGGGTGCAGCAGTTTCTCAGACAGAGCCAGGGTGCAGCAGTTTTTCAGGCAGAACCAGTGTGCAGCTGTGTCTTAGACAGACCCAGGGTGCAGCAGTTTCTCAGACAGAGCCAGGGTGCAACAGTTTCTCAGACAGAACCAGGGTGCAGCAGTTTCTCAGACAGAGCCAGGGTGCAGCAGTTTCTCAGACAGAACCAGGGTGCAACAGTTTCTCAGACAGAGCCAGGGTGCAGCAGTTTCTCAGACAGACCCAGGGTGCAGCAGTTTCTCAGACAGCCAGGGTGCAACAGATTCTCAGACAGAACCAGGGTGCAGCAGTTTCTCAGACAGAGCCAGGAGGCAGAAGTTTCTCAGACAGAGCCAGGGTGCAGCAGTTTCTCAGACAGAGCCAGGGTGCAGCAGTTTCTCAGACAGAACCAGGATGCAGAAGTTTCTCAGGCAGACCCAGGGTGCAGCTGTTTCTCAGACAGAGCCAGGGTGCAGCTGTTTCTCAGACAGAACCAGGGTGCAACAGTTTCTCAGACAGAACCAGGGTGCAGCAGTTTCTTAGACAGAACCAGGGTGCAGCAGTTTTTCAGACAGACCCAGGGTGCAGCAGTTTCTCAAACAGAGCCAGGGTGCAACAGTTTCTCAGACAGAACCAGGGTGCAGCAGTTTCTCAGACAGAACCAGGGTGCAAAAGTTTCTCAGGCAGACCCAGGGTGCAGCTGTTTCTCAGACAGAGCCAGGGTGCAGCTGTTTCTCAGACAGAACCAGGGTGCAACAGTTTCTCAGACAGAACCAGGGTGCAGCAGTTTCTCAGACAGACCCAGGGTGCAGCAGTTTCTCAGACAGAGCCAGGGTGCAACAGTTTCTCAGACAGAACCAGGGTGCAGCAGTTTCTCAGACAGAGCCAGAGTGCAGAAGTTTCTCAGGCAGACCCAGGGTGCAGCTGTTTCTCAGACAGAGCCAGGGTGCAGCTGTTTCTCAGACAGAGCCAGGGTGCAACAGTTTCTCAGACAGAACCAGGGTGCAGCTGTTTCTCAGACAGAACCAGGGTGCAACAGTTTCTCAGACAGAACCAGGGTGCAGCTGTTTCTCAGACAGAGCCAGGGTGCAGCTGTTTCTCAGACAGAACCAGGGTGCAATAGTTTCTCAGACAGACCCAGGGTGCAGCTGTTTCTCAGACAGAACCAGGGTGCAACAGTTTCTCAGACAGAACCAGGGTGCAGCAGTTTCTCAGACAGAACCAGGGTGCAACAGTTTCTCAGACAGAGCCAGGGTGCAGCAGTTTCTCAGACAGACCCAGGGTGCAGCAGTTTCTCAGACAGAGCCAGGGTGCAGCAGTTTCTCAGACAGAGCCAGGGTGCAGCAGTTTCTCAGGCAGAACCAGGGTGCAGCTGTTTCTCTGACAGACCCAGGGTGCAGCAGTTTCTCAGACAGACCCAGGGTGCAGCAGTTTCTCAGACAGACCCAGGGTGCAGCAGGGTGCAGCAGCTTCGGCAAGGCCAGGCGCCACAGCAGCAGTGCATCACAGGCGGCCCTGGAAATCCACGACAACAAAACCAAAACCTATCAAACCCAGAACAACACAAAACGCATTCAAAAACTCCAAAATAAATTCTAATCTGCAACAGGGACTCAAGAATAAAAAATAAAAATCTAAGAGACAGAGATGAAAAAAAACGGCAAGGAGCGCATGCGCAACAAATGAAGCGAGGGCACCGGCGGCATCTTCTCATTTCAGGCTCCGCCGTTTCCCGACCATGACCCTTCTTGTTGAACCCTTTTTTGTCGCAGCTCGGCGACGCTGCCCCTCATGATGAAGTGCGTGGAGGAGAACAACGGCGTGGACAAGCGCATCAGCCGCTTCATCCTGCCGATCGGCGCCACCGTGAATATGGATGGTGCCGCTCTGTTCCAGTGTGTGGCCACCGTCTTCATCGCTCAGTTCAATGACATACATTTGGATGCGGGGCAGATCTTCACGATCCTGTGAGTCACACGTGAGCTTGCGGGTGCGCTCTCTACAGTCGTGAGTTTATTCTTATTTTTTACGGCAACGGTTTGTGATGGAAAGTTATCGTAAATGTAAGTAGCGCAATGTTGCGGTTCACCAAACCACAAAAGTGGAACAACTACTATACGTATTAAGAGCAAAGTGATTCCCTGCTCACGTGAGCATTGAGGCGTTGCACATCTCCACACATCTCCGCAGCCCTGAGCCAGTGGTGGAAATTCCACATTCCAGCCAGTTGTAGCTCATCGCTCGTGACACAGACACGATTTGATCAAAGTGATTCACGGCGACATTTGATGTTTTCCAAAAATTTGACTGCAGGAGTAATGGTATAAATTTGATTATTGTCATCGTAAACAAAACAGATATCAGACATTTATGCTCTGATTACGTCACCACACTCGGGTGCATCGCGTGACCTATATTTTATGCACAGAATATAAACTGATGACCTTTGTGGAAGAGTTAGTAGTGTCTTTTGTGGATGACATTATAATTATGGTGTTGAGCTCTGCCCACTATATTATTTATAGTCAGGTGCTAATTGTCATTGTTGATGAAGACTCCATATCTTATTTTCTGATTCACAGTTGATGGGTACAGGCCCAAAAGCCACAAACACCAAGTAGATTTATAAGAATTTAAATGTGTTTCTTTAATTGACCAATGCTGGAAGACTTGACAAAAGTGAAAATGGGACAGAATTCCAAAGTGGAGCAGTGCAGAGGCAATAAACAGAAAGATAAGTTTTAGTGACCTGCAGAGTAGTGAGTGAGTGAGTAGGTGAGTGAGTGGGTGAGTAGGTGAGTGAGTGTGCTGTGGTGACCTGCAGTCTGGTGAGTGAGTGGGTGAGTAGGTGAGTGAGTGTATTGTGGTAACCTGCAGTGTGGTGAGTGGATGAGTAGGTGAGTGAGTGACTGTGTTGTGGTAACCTGCAGTGTGATAAGCGGGTGAGTGGGTGAGTAAGTGACTGTTTTGGTGACATGCAGTGTGGTAAGTGAATGAGTGGGTGAGTAAGTGAGTGAGTATGTTGTGGTGACATGTAGTGTGGTGAGTGAATGAGTGGGTGAGTAAGTGAGTGAGTGTGTTGTGGTGACATGCAGTGTGGTGAGTGAATGAGTGGGTGGGTATGTGAGTGAGTGTGTTGTGGTGACATGCAGTGTGGTGAGTGAATGAATGGGTGAGTGAGTGAGTGTGTTTTGGTGACATGCAGTGTGGTGAGTGAATGAGTGGGTGAGTAAGTGAGTCAATGACTGTTTTGGTGACATGCAGTGTGGTGAGTGAATGAGTGGGTGAGTAAGTGAGTGAGTGTGTTGTGGTGACATGCAGTGTGGTGAGTGGGTGAGTAAGTGAGTGAGTGTGTTGTGGTGACATGCAGTGTGGTGAGTGAATGAGTGGGTGGGAATGTGAGTGAGTGTGTTGTGGTGACATGCAGTGTGGTGAGTGAATGAGTGGGTGAGTGAGTGTGTTTTGGTGACATGCAGTGTGGTGAGTGAACGAGTGGGTGAGTAAGTGAGTGAGTGTGTTGTGGTGACATGCAGTGTGGTGAGTGAATGAGTGGGTGAGTAAGTGAGTGAGTGTGTTGTGGTGACCTGCATTGTGATGGTTGAACAGTGTGGATGCTACAAAACAGTGAGTCTGATAGACCGAGTCCTTAACAAGCAGTGAGAGAAGTTCATTACGAGCGGTCGTCAAGGTAAGAAAAGGTCAACCTATAATTAGTAATATAATCAACAGCAAAATGTATACACTGATTAATAGTATAAATAATATGTATAATAATTATACTCAACATTAACAACACGGACCGGCTGAAGCACATCGAACAATGACATCAAATTGCAATATAATAATGGATGACAAATTACAATTGTGTTATGGTATCCGGTATATATTTGTACACGAGAGTGGGTTTTTTAACGTGACTGTGTTTTCATTTGTGCAGCGTCACGGCAACAGCATCGAGCGTGGGAGCAGCTGGGATCCCAGCAGGCGGCATCCTGACGCTTGCCATCATCCTGGAGGCGGTCGGCGTCCCCACCAAAGACCTGTCTCTGGTTCTGGCGGTCGACTGGTTCGTGTGAGTGTCCCCTCGTTATGTGTGTTCCATTTCGATGTTGGAGCAGCCTGTCGGTATGAATTGCTTTGGGCGCCGCGGTGGCTAGGAGATGTCGACTACCTCGCCTGGTATGCAGGAGGTCGTGGGTTCGATCCTGACTCTGACGCCTGTTTGATATTTGAAGTTTGCGCGTCTCTTTTCCTGTGGTCGCGTGGATTTTTCTCTTGGTCCTCCGGTTTTTCCCTCCACATTTAAAATCAATGTGTAATGACAGTGCGGAGCGATAGCGGGACAGTGTAGCTCCCCGGGACCATGGTTACTAATGTATGAGCTATTAATGAGACGGGAGCCAATGACGGGGAAGTATTACTGATGGACGAGTTAATGAGGATTCATGAGACGGGATCCAATGGGGGAGAAGGACGTGAGCGGCAAGGCCAGGTGCGGTGAGGAGGATTGAGGCTTAGCGTGTGGCCAGAGCGGGCGAGCATAAATAGCAGTGTGAGCGGAGGCTTGGGGCTGCTTGGTGTGGGGAACTGCCGTCGTTGTCACCTCGGATTGGGGCGTCTCCATCGTCTGCAAGTTGTCTGGAGCTTAGAAGCTAGATTGGCTCCGATTAGGGTTGTGTCTCATCACCCGAGTGTACGGAGTCACTCGTGTTACGTGTTGAGTTATTATTGGACTTTATTCTTAATAAATATATGGACTTTATCTATGTATATAAAAGGGAAATTTGTGAATGTGTGTCTGTTCGAAATGTTTAGCATACTTCCCAACATGCAACAAACTTAAAATTTGGCATGTGGGTAGCTTCCAGACTGTACACAATGCAAAAAGTCTAAAAATAGACTTTTTTTTATTTTGGGGGGGGCGCAATAATGCATGTGTAGTACCGTTGAAGAGGCTTGGACACTCGAGGTTGAGGCACACGTATTTATTCCGCGTTAGTGGTTACAAACCGCGGGCATACAATACTAGAGGGGGTAGCGGCCCCCTCACCCGTCTAGCTGGGAATATACTCCTAGCTAGCTCCGTCCTACCTCCTAGTCCTCCATTTAAGAGCTAGGGGAGGCTGTCTGGCCCGACACTGGTAAGTCAGGCTACGGTACCCGGAGTCCCAGAGCACTCGCTCTGGTTCTCGGGACCACGCCGCTGGCTCGGTCCTGCGCGGCCCTGACAAGGGCGGCGTCCCAGGGGAGTCCAGGGCCTAACTAGACGATCTTGGGTCTTCGCTCCTTTAGCTGTAACATTGTGCCCTGAGCCCTCTGGCTCACCCCTCTTTATACCCCAACCCCCCGCTGAGGGGTGGGGCCCCCCTGGGGGATCACAACTCCGGGCCAGCCCCCCAGGCTGCCCGATGCGGACGTCGTTGCGAGCACCTCCCCCGTGTGCTTACGGAGCCCCGCCCACTGTGTTTGTTTCCCGTTGGATCCTATGTATATATAGCCCCTTTGTAACACCCCTACATCACCCCCCCCTACATAGCTCGCAGCCGTCCCGGCTGCAACAACAACAATAAAAGTTTTATTTACCCCTTGACCACGCGTGTGCCTCGCAATTTTTTTTTTAACCATAACGCGACGAGAACAACAAGAAAAACCAGAAAAGCCAGAAAGGAAAATAACCCGACGCGCCCCACCCCCGAATAAATACGAATACCGTAAAACCATTGTATATACAAATTTCAGGGAACCCCTGCGCACACACAACACACCAGGAACACACCATACGTACAATTCAATGTGCCAGGAGGGAACTCCCCCACCACACACACCACACAAAGAAGACAACATGCGTACATCGTGAACACAATGTGTGGAAAAAAATACTAAAAATTTTTTTTCTCTTTTTTTCATCACAAGAGTCTGCGCATTCTTGCGCGCGTCCTTGCCGCTGGCCCGTCACACGGGGCAACCCCGGACGGCGGCCCGCCGGGTGGCAACTGTCCATTTCCGAGTGGGTCTGTTGTCGATGTCTCGAGACCCTCGGCATCCCCCGTTGGGGTTGTGGGGCGTGAGCCCGTCATTCCTGGTGCACCTGGGGGCGGGACAGCCGGCAATACGTCCGGCGAGAGCAGCGGAGACGGACCCTTTGAGTCGGTCGACCCCCCGCATGTTTGGCCACGCGTGTGTGAAGTGGGGATGTGTTCCGCAACGAAGGGTTTTAATCTAGAGGGGTGGACGAACCACCGCCGCTTTCCCCATTTGATGCGCACGCACTGTGGTCGCAAAACCTCAACCACCTCCACAGGGCCCCGCCACGGCCGCACCAGCTTAGAGGAGGTTGCGAGTGGCACCTGGGGACAGTGCAGCCATGCCTTGTCCCCCGGCTTCCACTGCAGCATGTGCGCCCGACCCAGTCTGAGCCGCTCATTCGCTTTCTGACGGAGGTCAGAGTTTTGCATGGCAGCATCCCGTGCCTCCGTCAATTTGGCCAAATTAAATTTCACATGGTCAGCCAATTTAGTTTTTCCCTGAGGCGCGGGGATCTGCAGCTGGGCACGAACAGGCGGGTCAGGTTCGCGGCCGTACATGAGGTAGAAGGGTGAAAATCCCGTAGCTGCGTGGGGGGCCATCCGGTACGCCGCCAACACCCCTTGAATTTGCAAGTCCCAATCGGTCTGTGAGTCCGACACCTGCTGCGACAACATTGACGAGATGGTCCGATGCAAACGCTCGACCATCCCGTCAGTCTGCGGGTGATACGGGGAGGTACGAATTTTCTTCGTGCCCAGGAGCTCACAGACTTCTTTGAGCAATTTACCGGAAAATTTTTTGCCCTGGTCGGTCAGCAGCCGCTCCGGAGCACCTTTGTCCAGGACATAACCCTGAACAAAGGCCTCCACGATGGCTGCTGCCGACTGGTTGGCAAGGGGCCAGGCCATAGGCCAGCGTGTAAAATACTCCACACCAGTTAACAAATATCTATTGCCCCTGGGTGTGGCGGGGAATGGGCCCAAAATATCCAGCGCGACGAGTTCGTTAACTCTGGACACTTTGATTGACTGCAAGGGTGGGTTAGACACACGTGCTGGCGGTTTTCGTTGCGCGCACCGAGGGCATGACCCCAGTAAATCCCCGACATCCTTCGTCATGCCTGGCCAAAAATAATCAAGTTGGAGTAAGGCAAGGGTCTTTTGGGTCCCCAGATGTAGGAGGCGCTCATGTGCGGCCCACACCGCGTTGCCCCGCAACCCCGAAGGGACCACCAGCCGATGTCGATGGGATTTCCCGTCCCAGTGCATCAGCAGACCATGCACCAATTCCCATGAGTCGGCATAACCCCTGCCCTGCCCAGCACAGCCGACGTGACGACGCAACCCGAGGAGAGAGGTATCCTCCATCTGGAGGCGCCCCCATTCATTGACGGGCAACCCCAACAGGGAATCTTTTCCCTGTTGTGCGATCGAATTTGTCATCGACGCTGCGTCGTCCCCGGCCGCCAAGACCGGAACAGGGAATTCAGCGGGATACCTGCAACGACCCGACCCCAGGAGGCATGCGCATTCGGGGGTGGTTGGCATGCGCGATAGAGCGTCGGCATTTGTGTGGCGAACGCCCTTACGGTACGTGGTTTCAAAATCAAAGTCCTGGAGAACCTCCAACCATCGAGACAATTGTCCCGATGGTTGTTGAACTCGCAGGGCGTACTGTAATGCCGCATGGTCTGTATGGACGGTGAAACGCTGACCGTACAGATATGGCCGGTACTGTTGGATGAAATAGAGAATTGCCAACAGTTCCCGCCGGGTGACACAGTATCGTTGCTCCGCTGGAGACAACACCCGACTGCCATACGCGACCACCCTTTCCACGCCATCAACCACCTGGGAAAGCACGCCCCCAATACCTGTGTTGCTCGCATCGGTGTCGAGCACAAAGGGTTTTGAAAAATCGGGGTAAACCAAGGGAGGGGCTTTAACCAGAGCCCCCCGAAGGGAGCTGAAAGCGGCCTCCTCCTCCTGTCCCCAATGGAAGCGGACCCCCTTTGATGTTAAAGCATGAAGGGGTTTAGCAATTATGGCAAAATCCGCGACAAAGCGTCGGTAATATGACGCGAATCCAATGAAACTCCTGACCTCTCCCACAGAGGTGGGAGTCGGCCAGGAGCTGACGCACTGCGTTTTGGCGGGATCGGTAGCAATACCTGAGCGTCCAACGATGTGCCCCAAATAACACACCGATTCGCGTAACAGATGACATTTTTGGGGTTTAAATTTCAAATTAGCAGCCCGCATTTTGAGGAAAACCGCCCGCAACCTCTGGAGATGCTCGTCAAATGTTTTGCTAAAGACGATAACGTCATCCAAATAAATCAAACACGAATCCCATTGCAATCCAGCCAAAACCAATTCCATCAATCGCTGGAAAGTCGCCGGCGCCGAGTGGAGTCCCATCGGCAACCGGTTGAATTGGAAGAGACCGTGCGGTGTACGGAATGCAGTTTTAGGCTTAGAATCATCCAGAGGAAGCTGCCAGAATCCCGAAAGCAAATCCAATGTGGAGAAGAATCGCGCTCCCGCCAAAGCGTCCAGCGATTCGTCAATTCGTGGGAGTGGGTATGCGTCGGCCACAGAAATTTTGTTGAGGCGGCGAAAATCGACGCAAAACCGCAACGAGCCATCCTGTTTCTTAACCAGGACGATCGGTGCTCCCCACGGGCTGGTAGAGGGAGAAATGATGTCGGCGGCCAACATGTCATCAACAGCCGATTTGACATGGTCCTTTTCGGTGGGACTTAACCGAAAGGGATTTTGGCGTATTGGCGCGCTGTCACCCGTATCAATATGGTGACGCAGCAGATGGGTACAGCCTAAATCGAATTTGTTCTGACTGAAAACGTCGGAAAATTCGCGCAGCAGGGTTCTAAGTTTCTGACGCTCTAAATCCGACAGGTCCGTCGATCCCGCACAAAGCGCCTCGAGCCACCCTTCATCGGTGTCCGAATGTGGACGCGGCAGAGGGACAGAGCCGACGTGGTTCGCGACAGGTTCCTCACAGGGCACCGGCGTTGCGTGAGCAAGCACGGTCCCTTGAGGAACTACCACTGTCTGCGACCCCACATTGAGGACCGCGATGAAAGGGTCCCCGTCCCCTTTTACGATGGTCTGGGCCGGAATCAAATGAGGTCCGCTAACCCCAGCCCTAGATGGCCCCAGCAGAATACCCTGGTCCCCAATGCCCTTAGCGAAGGGCCGACGAAGTTTGAGAGGCACCAACATTTGTGCCCCCGGCGGTACGCGAACCGTTTTGACGACAAACGCCGGTACCGTCGCGAACGCCGTCCGAGCCGCAGTAGGGGAAGGCAGAAACGCCATGCGTCGCCCCGACGGGAGCTCTATGCAGCCCTGGTCAATTAAAATACGAATCGGCATTTTGCCCAAGAAGTCCGTCCCCAGCAGGCACGGAACCGCCAGCGAGGAGGAAACAAAAATGGGGCCAGACAATTTAATATCACCGATACAAATTTGGGCTCGAATCTGTCCAACGATGCCCAGTGAGCCCCCGTTAGCAGCATAGAATGGGACGTACACGGCAGTAAGGAACGGCTCTGGACAGGGAGAATATTGTAAATGAGTTCCGAAATAATGGTCGCCGATGCACCTGTATCGACCAGGATGCGCACCTCGACCCCGTCAATGCGCCCTACCACGGCCGACGAGCCCGACGACGCAGCCACTACGCGATGGGCCAACATGGACCACTGACCGGGTTCGATTTGAGCCCCCATGGTGGTGCGTGTTGGCCCGACGGTGCGCAATGTCGGCTCCCCGTTCGTTGCGGTGTGCGAGTGTGTGACGGGTGTGTGCATGGGCCAAACATGAGGGGTGCCGCGACTCGCCGGGTTATGTTGATGGAGCTTGGGAGGAGGAGGCCCGGCGTCCTGTCGAGGTGTCGGCCCGCGCTGCCGAGGAGAGCGGCACCCCGAGGCGACATGGCCCCGGATGCCGCAGTTGTAACAGCGCGGGAGCGCTGGCGGTGATGAGGGACGGTCGGAGCGGCTTGACCCGTCGCGGCCCGCCCGTACACCCGCCCTCTGCTGCTGTCGATGGTCGACGGCGTAGACGTCCTCCGTCGGAAGGGCGGCTGCAGCCACCGCACGCCCGGCCGCCGCTCTGGTGGCCTTCCGTCGCTGCGACAGCAGGTTGGCGTGGAGGAGCCGCGCCGCCTGGAGGGAACCCATTTCAGTGTCCTCTTGAGCAACGACGGCGATGTCCAGGTCGTCTGCCAGCAGGAGGATTTTTTCCGTGACCATCGCGTCCACGCCTTCATCGTCCATTCGAGGGAAGGCCGTCTTCGCCAGCGCCAGGAGACTCGTACGATAGGCGAGGGGCGACTCCTTTGCACCCCGTTGACGATCGTAAAAACGCTGCCTGCATTCCGCTGAAGGTCCGTAGACCGCAGCCAGCAACTGCAGCGCCATCGGAAGCGTGGAGCGTTTCTCCTTGGGCGCCGATGTGAGAGCGGCGAGGGCGTCGCCGTCGAGGAGCGCCGGCAGCGCGCAGAGCGCCTCGGCATCGGACCACTGCGCCATTTCCTGGTGCGTGAGGAAGCGCCGCTGGAAGCCGCCCCAGTCGCCCTCCTCGCCCACAAACTCTTTTAGTGGGGGCAGGCGTTGGTGCAGCGCAGCGGTCGCCGTGGAAGGCCGCCCTTTGCCGTCCCCGCTAGTCGTCTGTGCCTCGGTGCGAACGACGGATGGCATCGCCGGTCGCACCAGTGATGACGCTCCGTCCGCTGATGACGCGGCAGCCCCCCCGAGGCCGATGTCGGACCCGAGTTTCAGGCCGGCCACGCCCTCAGCAGCTGCGGCGGCGATGGCGGGAGATTCAAAGTTGGCGCCCGTTGAAATGGCGGGAAGGTGCGCCGGTCGTCCGCCATCGTCGGCCCGTGGTGGTCCCGCAGCGCCCAGCCGGGTGATGTGTTCGAGCGTGGCGGCAGCAGCGTACAGCAGCTCCGCCAGCCTCGCGTGAGCCAGCCTCAGTCCGTCGGACGCCGGCTCCCCTTCATCCCGACGCCCCGGTAAGGCTGCGTCCGGCTCCGGCTGCTCGATGCCACCTGCAGCCGTCTCGGGCTCCACAATTCCAGCGGTGTCCTCCGCCTCCGGTACCCCGGCTCGAGCTGTTCGGCGCGTATCCATGTTCGTGGTTGTTCACTTCTGTCACCAGATGTAGTACCGTTGAAGAGGCTTGGACACTCGAGGTTGAGGCACACGTATTTATTCCGCGTTAGTGGTTACAAACCGCGGGCATACAATACTAGAGGGGGTAGCGGCCCCCTCACCCGTCTAGCTGGGAATATACTCCTAGCTAGCTCCGTCCTACCTCCTAGTCCTCCATTTAAGAGCTAGGGGAGGCTGTCTGGCCCGACACTGGTAAGTCGGGCTACGGTACCCGGAGTCCCAGAGCACTCGCTCTGGTTCTCGGGACCACGCCGCTGGCTCGGTCCTGCGCGGCCCTGACAAGGGCGGCGTCCCAGGGGAGTCCAGGGCCTAACTAGACGATCTTGGGTCTTCGCTCCTTTAGCTGTAACATTGTGCCCTGAGCCCTCTGGCTCACCCCTCTTTATACCCCAACCCCCCGCTGAGGGGTGGGGCCCCCCCGGGGGATCACAACTCCGGGCCAGCCCCCCAGGCTGCCCGGTGCGGACGTCGTTGCGAGCACCTCCCCCGTGTGCTTATGGAGCCCCGCCCACTGTGTTTGTTTCCCGTTGGATCCTATGTATATATAGCCCCTTTGTAACACCCCTACACATGTAATATATTGCACGGCAAGTGAGCGGTGACGTCACATATGTGATGTCACCTGCATGCGACAGCGTTATGCAGTGTGCCTGCTGACGTCACGCACCCCCCCCCCAACCCTCCGCGTAGGCCGTGTATTAATCCAAGACAAGGATCCAAGTCCCGGGCAAAGCCGGGTAGTAAAGCTAGTTGTTAATAAATATACAGAAGACAAGACGGCATCTCTGAGAGCTACATTACAAATGTACGTTTAGAGTATTTGGCTGGTATAAATTTCCACATGATAAGCCACTTCGTTGAGCTATCATTTGTGGCCAGTTTGTTTCTGAAAAAGAGCTATATAGCTCAGTGAGCCTTAACTGGTCAAATAAATCAATTGTTTACAGTTTAAAATTAGTTTTTATAGTTTATACTCGGGGTGCATAGTTTGGGTATGACCTAACCCGAGCAAGTATCAGATAAAAGTCAGATCAGACCTGATACTCGCTCGGATTATTGTGATCAGATTGTAATGAGTACCTAATAAGCAATTACACCCTCATGTAATACTTCATGAGTTACAGGGTGGCTCAGTGAGCTGGATGCTTTTGATCGTGATTGAATGTTTTGGATTTGAAACACAGCTGAGATGCCCTTGCAAATGAGATGTTCCATCCAGGTGAAATATTTGATAAACATAAATTGTGATGGGAGGGATAGGTATAGAGAATGGAGGAGGGTAGGTTGCCATATTTGCATATACTTGTATTAACTTACTACGGCTTATGGTCGATGGTTCTTCTGGGATTGAGTTACACCAAGGTAGACCTGATTTCAGAAGTGGGCCAGGCGTCTTTCTGTGTGGACTTTGTGTGTTCTCCCCTTGTTCTGAATTGGTTTTCTGCCACAGCTAATAAAACATACAACGTAACCGGCATTGCTTAAACATCGCAATTATTGACAATCGCCGGCAAGTTACCCACTCAGGAATACACAGTCGCAACCATTGCCCTCCCCACTGTGAACCTGTGCAGGACCCTCCTGAAAAAATAACGACGATTAATAATAATGATGATGATGAGCTTGCACTTGCATTTCCATTGCCAGGGACCGCACCTGCACCGTGCTCAATGTTGAAGGCGACGCCATCGGCGCTGGGATTCTGCATTACACCAACACGGAGCGAGAGGAGGCAGCCGTGCCGGCCGTGGAGGAACTGGCCGAAATCAAGATGGAAACGCCGATAAACGGGCGCTCGGGCAGTGAGGCATCGCCGTTGATTCGGCACAACCACGTCGTGTCTCTCACCCCCACGTCGCCCGCCCAGGAGTCTGCGCTCTGAGTCGAACGCGAGGACATTGGAGATACACCTTACTGCAGTCCCATGCCCAAAGGCAGGTGATGGTAAATCTGTGTTAGTACTCCACATTCAGTGGGTCACCATATTATGATAACTTGCAGCACTGATTCATTTTTATGATTCTAAAATATATTTAAAAAAATACATTGAGGAATTGATTATATTTGTAATCTGGGTTAATGCAAGCACACCAGCAGCTATTGTACGTAGTTATCCTTGCACACCATGATTCTCCCGATTCATAGTTTATTCTGGGTTAGATCGTGTAGGTGTGATGTCTGGGTTAGATCGTGTAGGTGTGATGTCTGGGTTAGATTGTGTAGGTGTGATGTCTTGGTTAGATTGTGTAACGTCTGAGTTAGATTGTGGAGGTATAACGTCTGGGTTATATCGTGTAGGTGTAACGTCCGGGTTAGATTGTGGAGGTGTAATGTCCACCGTGAGTCAAGTTGGACATATGTGCCCGTTGGTTTTGTTCTTCAGCAACCGGTTACGTTGAAAAGCAAGCAACATTTAAAACATTTTCGTGTGACATTTCAACGGCGAGTACAAACCAGCGTCATCAGGCGATAGCAAGAGATCATATCGAAGTGAATGCACTTCCTGATCTGGCTCCTGGAGTAGGTGCTATGCCACCATCAGATCAGCAACGCAGGAGAACCGGATTTGATCAAAAGAATTGAATGCAGATTGACCGGTTGTAAGTGACAGGGTTAAATAGTGTAACAAGGTGAAGCTGATTCATCGTTGGTGAAAATATCAATCGGTTATGTTGAAGTGTATTGTATTAGTCATGATTGATATTAGTTACATTACAGCTTCATTGTTTACAAAATCCCCTAGGGTTATATCGTAAGGTGTAATTTATCTGTCTTTCTGGTGATTGTTTTTTTTGTGATTGGAATATGCAGGTACGTTGAATTTAAGAGATTATTAGTTTTTTACATTATTGTAATTATGATGTTTTATTTTAACTTAAAAAGGCAGAGTTAATTGATGTTATGAATCTATTTAAGCATTATCTTCATAGGATTACTTAATTCAGCATCATAATGATAATTTGTTCTTAATTCGTTTCAGGGCAGCGTTTGGTCTATAGCAAGTCACCCTGTTCACGTTGTTTTTCCTTTTTTCAATTTTATTTCCCTAATTATTGTTTGCCAATAATAATACATTTTACACGGAACTCTAATCTTACCAGCATAAATTGTGTGCCCTTCCTGACATGCGTGTTCAACCGCAGACATCTGCGTCTGTGAATATTTAATGTTCGATATTCTATGGTTCTTTCGGTAAAGTCACGTATATAGAAAAAAAATAATAACAATAAAATAAAAAGAATGGGTTCTCCCTTATCTCCGGTTGTGGCCAATATTTTCATGGAAAAATTTAAGATGAACGCCATCCAGGCATCCACTCTACGCCCGTCCTTGTGGAAGAGGTACGTGGATGACACATTTGTCATCTGGCCACATGGCCGACCGGCTCTGGTACAATTCCTTAACCACATCAATTCCATACACCCAGCAATCAAATTCACCATTGAAGTAGAAAGGATGGCATGCTACCCTTCTTAGATGTCTGAATCAAATAGAGACCAGATGGCTCAATGAGCAACTGTCTACAGGAAAGTAACCCTTACTGACACCTAACTAAAACCTGATTCCCACCACCATCCATCCCAGAAGAATTCCCTCATCAAAATGCTACACCATAGAGCTCAATGTATCTCCGACCATGAACACCTGACCAGTGAACTCAAACATGTACACCGGGCTCTCATGGCGAATGGATATTCTGACTACACAATCCGCAAAGCCATCACCCCAACCGTGAGGAAGGAGCCATCTGATGATCCAATCAAAATGATCACCTTACCTTACATAGCAGGGATAACCAAAAATATTTCCAAAATCTTGTATAAACACAAATCCAGGTCCGATTTAACACAGTGCATAAAATCCGTGACCTGATCCCATCTGTGAAGGACAAGATTCCTGACATGCAATATCCCGGCGTCGACAAACTCAGCTGTATCTGCGGCAGCAGTTATATTGGGAATCAAACGACATGTCTCAGACCATGTTCGTGAACATAAGGCAGATCTGAAACATGGCAGGACCAATACTTCTGTCCGTGGCTGATCATTACTTTAATGCAGCTGGCTCACACGAAATTTATTTCTCTAAGATGATGGTACTTTGCAAGACGACTGGCTATCAACAAATATTCGTTCACGAAGCCATCCATATATACAGACCCAGACACAAATTCAACCGAGACGACGGTTTTAAACTCAGCAATCATTGGAAAGATGTCATCAACCACTTTGACTTGATTTGTGTTTTTTTGTCCATCTCCACCGTCAGCAGTGTGAGTGTGTGGAGCGAGGTGCAATGCTTTGATTGATGTAGACCTACTGCTGGTGTCGGGGCCCTCTCCCACATTAACATTAGCTGCTCCGCCCATCTCTAAACCTTTAAAAACAGCTTTCCCTCAGAGGCTAACCTCCCTGTTCCTGATGACGACCACTTGTGTTGCGATCGAAACGTCGTGATATTTTTTTTATTCACTTTATTTTCATTTTTGTTATTTTATTTTTATTATTTTTCTATCTACATGACTTTACCAAAAGAACCATAGAATATGAATTCCTGCAGTCATGAAAGTTTAAAGTCAAAATATTTGATGTTCTTTAATTCGTATACTAATTTTACGACCTTTTCGACCAATGTAACATTTGCCGCAACATACACACAGGCTGGTGTACACCTTCTTATCGCCTAAAAATTATATATAATGGATAACGTAGAATGGTGAAAGTGGCGTAGTGTTGTGTAGTAGTGTGGTGTTGTGTAGTAGTGGTGCAGTGTATTTGCACATTATAGCAGGAGTTTGGTGTAGTGATTGGTGTAGTGTAGCGGTGTAGTGGTGCAGTATAGTGGTGGAGTGCAGTGATGCAGTGTCATGTAGAGGTGCAGTGCAGTCGTGCAATGCATTGGTGGAGTGCAGGGTCAAGGTGCAGTGCCATGTTGTGCACCGTATCTTGCAGCATCAACAGTGACTGGTGACAACAGTAGCAGACAAAAACTATATTCACATTCATAATCATCTTCATCGTCATCATTATCATCTATATTAATGTTTTAGGTATAGAGCAGAGCTTCTGACAGTGCTCACATTTCATCTGCATACTCAAGCTGCTGCCTGTGGGAAATTGCAGACAGCATGATGAGTGTAGCACCTTCTTCTATCTCGGTCGCAGATCTCTGCGATCGAGATAAACGTGTGGTGCTCTGATCTGCCGTGTTTGTTGGTAGCAACGTGCATGCATCACAGCCTCCCACCAGGACTGTGCCCTCTCGAAAGACAAAGATCCCCCATGTAGCCTTAACAGACTTTTCGGGCATGTGATGTTAGCGAGCACCTATGAAGGCCGACACGGCACACCAGGGGGTGGGTGGCCAACGCCACGCCCGACCACCTTTGTCTGCCCAGTGGCGATGTTTACAAATCGCACTGGGTTCGAATTTGAGGCCAAGTCGACCTAGTGGAGGTCCAGGACCGGTTCAGATATTCTTCACCGGTGTTGGCCGTGTGCGGGAATCAAACTCGGATCGCCAGGTTCGTAGCGCACGGCGCAAACGCGACATTGCCGCTCCCCACTGTGCCCTCTCCCCCTGACTCTACACAGACATCTGCAGACCCCACGGATAATAGGCTCTGTCTGTCCCCGTCATGACCAGTTCTGTCTGACGTCAGTGACATTGTGAATTAAACAGTAGAATCAAGCAGTGCTAGTCGCGGTCTTTGCAGTTTTTTTTATTTGAACGAATGGAGAAAAGCAAAAGGAGTCGAGCAAGTGATGGTCGCAAATGAGTGGAGTTTCACTCTTCTAAATACCGAATGCGCATTACTCAATTTCTTTTTTATTTGTATTTAATCCATTCATATGGAGCCAGTGCACCAAGTAAGACTCCACATGTCACTTGTTTCTAGATGTCTCCATGTTTGAGTATCTTGTAACTGTATGGAAATTATATCTTTCTCTGTGTTTGCCTGAGAGTGTCTGTGTATTGATGTATTTGTGTGTGTGTGTATCTTTTATACGTTGGCCTTCATAGGTGCTTGAAAACAGCACTTTCCACAACAGTCAATTGAGCCTATTCGTGGGATATTTGTGACTATCTGTTTATGTTTTTCCATGTTTTTCACTTTCGCTGATGTTTTCTCTATATCTGCCTTGTTGCGTAACTCTGTCTCATTGTGTTTCTCCCTCTTTTTTGCGAATGGCTCCATTTCTAGTATCTCACTCTGTCGCTGCTTGTACAGTATTTCTGTGCCACTGTGGTTTGCTTTTCTGTATTTGCATATGTCTCTCTCGGTTTCTTCCTAACTTCTGCCACGGTGGCTGTGAGGTGTTATCTCCCTCACCTGGTATACAGGAGTTCGTAGGTTCGATCTCGACCCTGACGCCTGTATATTTGGAGTTTGCATGTTCTCCCTGTGGTGGCGTGGATTTTTCTCCGGGTCCTCCAGTTTTTTCCTCCACATTTAGAAACATGCGCTTAAAGTATTTGGCTGCAAGACATTTCCACGTGATAAGCTACTTCATTGAGCTATCATTTGTGGCCAGGTCACTTCTGAAAAAGAGCTATATAGCTCAGTCGGCCTTATCTGATCAAATAAAAAATGTGTTTAGTTTTAGTTTATGTGTCTTTCTTCATGTCTCTCTCCTGTATTTCTAAATCTGAGATGTTTCATGACCAAACACAAGTGTTCCACATAAGTACACAATTGTGCCATTATTTCAAGGCTCAAAGCAACCTAATCCATTTTCATTTTATGAAAGGAAGCACAAACAATCTATTAATCAGATTATGTTATTTTGTAGTCACCAAATATGAGATCGCATTTCTTTAAAATCGGAGACGGATTAATTTTAAACTGGTAAATTTGACCAATACTCTGCACACACACGCAGAGTCTGGGACACATATGCACATGTATATAGTATACGCTGAAAATGTAAACAAGCACAAATCCAAACACCACAAGCCTGTACAAGCACCGCCATCTGATCCCATCTTAAAGAGAGGATACTCGTCTTTAAAATATGGAAATTCCCCAACATTGATCCAACCAAAGCCTGACTGCTAACGAGACACTGCACGTCGAAACCACTCCAGAGTTTGTTGTGCTGAATCAATGTTACTGAAATTGTGCACTTTCAGAAGGCCGTCTCGCCGATGGGCAGTTTAAGAATGACTTTTCTGTTTATGTGTAAAGAAAGACATGTGAATGGGACAATTTGTCTGCTTGTGTCTTTTGATTTTAAATGAGTTGGCTGCTATTCATAAGAGGTATTTTGGGTTAGATCGCATAAATATAAATGTGTTATTAAACTCGCCACCACCCGACACAGCCAATTAGGAAGGTTTGTCACATAAACAAAACATCCCAATTAGTTACTAGTTAAGCACACCGGTTGTGTGTTGGAGAGTTAACCCACAACATTTACAATTCGAGTACCGTGACGTTTTGTCGATAGTCACAACCAGCCTTGTCAAGCGACAGCCGGTGTGCTGAACTAGTAACTAATTGGCATCTTTTGTTTATGTGACAAACCTTACTAATTGGCTGTGCTGGTGGCGGGTTTAACGACACATTCATATTTAAGCGATCTAACCCAAAAAAAAACTTTTATGGGTATTGGTCGTGAAAGGATCCGTGTTAGACTGGTTGCTTTTATTGTCAGAATACTGAGGGTTTTTAAACAGCCCTTTACAACCTGATGATTAATCAAGCAAGAAATTAAAGTTGAGTATTTAACCGTGCATTTACCAACAATTCAATATGCAGCCTCAGTAACGCGAGGTGCACGAATTCCAACCTCGGGGTATGCTGGGTAGTGAAATGCCAGATTTTCTTTTTTTACTGAGGGCTGCTTGTTCAGTGGAACAGTCAAACATAAATGTTCTCAGGATATGTACAGTGAGTCCTATTATACAATTACAGACAGCCAGCTTTACCGAAAAATTATATATTTATGCCAGACAAGAGCACATGTGTAGTCACTTTACAAGGGATGCCATAATGCGTAGACAGGGTTGTAACAAGGTAATAATAACAAAGGTAAACGAGTATAAGCCTAAACGTGTGTTTAAATGCTTCTTAGAAGTATTTTCACGGTATAAAATTAAGTCACCAAGACAAAGTATGCATGCGAGCCAAGAATATGAAATTGAATGTATGCGCTTCGTGAAAAAGTGTTAAAACCCTGAACTGAACCACAAGGGGATTTTTGTAACAGGAGCCAAATTTGAGGTGAGACAGCGTGCGTGACCTGGTAGAGGGGGTCCTCAATTTTTATGGTACCACAGAAGAGGTAAGGAACAAAATCGTGTTTACATCATTTTACATATTAAACATGGGAAATGTCGGAGTGCAATCGTTAGCACAATGGATTTTCCATCCACAGGTCGCTTGGTTGAATTACATCTCCCGGCGTGGCACTGCAAAAAGGGTGCAATTTTCTAACATTCCCCCACTGCCTCTGCACCCAGCAGGGTAAATGGGTACATCAGTGAGTCTAAACTGCAAACTATTATTTCATTTTACCACGTAAGGCCCACTGAGCTACGTAGCTCTTTTTCAGAAGCGACCTGGCCACAAATGATAGCTCAATGAAGTGGCTTATTGTGTGCAAATTTATAGCGGAGGACCTGGAGAAAAATCTGCTCGACCACAGGAATAACATGTAAGCTGCAAACATACAGGAGGCGTCAGGATCGGGATTGAACTCACGACCTATTGTATACCAGGCGAGGTAGTTAAAATCTCGCCACCGCGAGTCGATCGGAAGGTCACGTGTGTGTTGGAATAAAGCGTGGGTACGCCCATTATTTGGATTATTTTTCTGCTATAAATGTCCAAATGATCAGCTACTTTGTTGAGCTATCATTTGTTGCCAGGTCGCTTTTCAACAATAAGTTAATACGTCCGTGGGCTTTGTCTGGTAGGATGGGGATGGTTTAGGTTGATTTGTTTGTGTTTTGGTGATTTGTTTATCTTTTTGTACTTTGCACTCCTTTCATGTTTTTGTCCTGTTTGTTGCTGTAACGTTCTTACCCGCCCCGACTGGAGATATGTGAAAAAGAGCTTTATAGCGCATTGGATTCCTCCAGTATAAATAAATATGATTCTGATATTTTGATAACACATGCGGTCAGCGTGCAAGAGAAGAACAGACACCCTCTGGAGTTCGCTCTAGAGGAGGCCCTTCCACCAGCAGTGGCGTGAGCGAGCAATTTCAAGGCCGTACCCTTTACCTTTCAGATATCAAGCAGCAGGCGTTTAAAGATGGAAATTATCAACATCTACCTGAATATGAATGCGCAATAAAGTTATAAATGAAGATGTACTGCTTTGCTAGATTGTGGCCAATATAAAATCAATAAGCAGGCAATGCATTTGTTTCAGTTTACCAAACTATCACCAGGGAATGCCTGCGAAATGAATGTGGCCGAGGAGCGCGACACTATCGGTGAGTGTGAGTGTCATCCACAAAAGCTCTTGTGGCCCAAAAACTAAACACCCCCCAACGAATTGCCTTGGTTATACACGTACTGCTGGGAAACATTGTCCTGGATAGCCTATGGATTGTGAATTTACTTGAAGATACCGTACCAATCAAACTTTCAATCTACAATAAAATGTTCGTGTAATGCATTCACAATAGAAATACCGTAGCTCCCGTTTGTAATAGAAAGTTAATTGAAAATTTACATTCATAGTTTCAGTGTTAAAGTTTCTTGCACACATTCGTGTCTTGGATTCATTTGTATTTTACACGTTTCATTATCATTTCTCTACTTCGAAAGCTATATTCCAACAGATTTTATTAATTGTACAGTATTTTTAGGCACCAAACTGCAAACGTTATCACCAACTAACAAGTCACAATTCTCACTGCCACACAATTCTGTCTACACGATAGAAGAGCCATTGCCCAACACCTTAGCATGGTTTTCATAGTTATAAGGTAGAACGTGTTCACGATTATGGAGTTAGTGTCTTATCATTCTGTAGTTATACCTCCTAAATATTGTTATACTTATACACACACCATGCGTCACAGATAAAACCTGTCTGATGAAATGATCAAACACCAAAATGGTTACCACCATCGAAGACCACGCACATTGAAGCAAATATTGCTACACCCTGACAGGGTAACTGCATAAACGTGGTGAGTACCACGTGTAACTAAGACCACAACGGGGTAACTACACTCTACACTACAACGAGGTAACTACATAACCGGGTTAGTCAGTAACGTACTGCCTGACCCACGAGCCGAGCGTAACGATCGAAGACCGAAGCGACGTAGCATGGCGGGTTGATTCCAGACAACAGCCCTGATCGGCTCTCGGGACCTCCCTTATATGCGCCTGAGCGTGGCCTGGCTCCGCCCACGGCCATACCCCCTTCTGGATCCTACCAGAAGGTTCTAGGCTGCATGTCATGTGTCCCACTCGCCCCCCTCGGGCCCCCCTCGTTACCCTATCCTGGTCACGTGCCCTCTCGGGTTCACCCAGAGTATCATGTCCTGGCGTGCCCTCTCTCTGCCCGTTACCGGAACCAGTGAGAGGCTCGAACACACGTAGTTCCTCTCTATTCTCAATAGCTGGCGCTAAGCGCCGTAGTGACTTAATATACGTCACTACACATGTATACTGTACTGTAAATACAGAAATAAACTGTATGTTTCAGGTTGTTTAATACTTTCAGTGTGTCTGGTATAGGATTTTTAGTTTTAAGTTACCAGGGTTTTCGTGTTTTTTTCACTCTTCTGTTGAATCGTCTTTGAGGCCTTCATTGTCAGTACAGGGCCAATTCGTGAAAATGTTTGTGTTTACATGGATTTAATGCAGTAGGTTTTTTTCTGCACGTACGATATTGTGGTACCATTTCTGTGTAGTGGAATTAATTGAAATACTGCAATACAAATGTGATATTATTTAAGATCAAGGCTATGCTTCATGATAATTCAAGACAAATTGGCAATTTGTGTTCATGCCATCTATTAAGTGATTGGTGAAGAGTCGCAGCCAGGAAATGGCATAATACAGACAGACGGTAATACTGGTTAAATAATAAAACAAAATTGAGTGCTTTTGAGAAAATGGTTATAAAACAATGAAAAACTATATTGTCACATCAATTCTTTTAAATCTATGGGATACTTTTTGGCAGTATCAAGATGATGAAACAAGAAAAAAAAGGCTTTAAGCTTTCTGGCAAAAATACAGGAGGTGTTAATATGTGGAAACACCAATCAGACACCTATTAAAAGGGTATCAAGTCTGCTTTAACCACGCATGCTTGTGGTAAAACATGCAAATAATTGTTTTCATAATGAAAACACTGTCCTTGAAATTGATTGGCCACACATTGTCAGAGCATACCGTATTTGTATTAGCAAAAGTATGTGTGGTGTCTGTTAGGTGTTTGAACTTCTTAACACCTGTATTGTTGACAGAAGCCTTTTCTCTTTTCGTCAATGATTTACTGGTATGGCACAGTGCCTATCAATGCATATGCAATGAAATAGTCAATGGCAAATGATAAAAAAAATCTGATCACCTGGGGAGGATGAAAGTATGAATGTTTAAAATACCACCTCTGGGGATTTCATTGCAAACACAAATCTAACACTCCACAGTTGTCCTAATTAAAACTACCAGTACTTGGCACGATCAGAAGAGAACACAGCATGCGATGATGACGGTCTCAGGATGAGACCCACATGAGGATATGGCTGGTGGGGAGATTAAGCCATTTTGTTACATATGGGTGTATCGGGTTGCACATAACTCGGGTTAAAATCGACAGCATTAATAGAGAGATGCCTTTGATCAAGCAGTCGATTTTAAATTGTTTTGGAAGGGTAATGCTGCTGGGTATGGCCTGCGTGATATTGTTTCGATCAGTGCAATAGTCATCATATGTCTATTGTTTCTGTAACTTAATCTCGATTGTAATTTGATCAGTCTAAAACTAATCTGCTTGAGCTGACGCCGCAGTTATTTAATGATTTGACATTAATTTATGTTCGCGCATTATTTTCGACAAAAAAAATCGACAATTGTTTTTGCAATGATTTATATTTGCTTCGTTGTTGTACTTTAAATTATTTTGCGTTTTTAATGTTGGTGACACGGGTCACTGCTGTGAGACTCACCCTGGTCTCATGAGCTCTCACCTGGTTACGCAAATGAACTTGACTTGATAAGCTCGATATTTTGTTTAAAATATTTTTTTAAATAAAGTTAACAGCTAGTACGGTTATACCTTTAATATAAATCTATTATGAACAAAAAATGTACACACACGGACAAAATGTCACAAGCATCTTTTAAATAGAAAATACTGTTCGGTTCATCATTCATGATTGTTTTCCATTTGAGTGACAGTCAATGACAATTAGCAAAATTGTTATTCGGAAAGCAAATTAACAATAATAAATGAATATTATTATTACCTAAAGTTACTGTAGTAATATAGGCAGAAGTTCATTAATATGGAACAATTCGTGCGGCTGTAGTTGGTGCTAAGTTCTCAGCTGAGTTCCTTATACTGGCGTGACTTTGTTGCTTTGAGTTCAGTTTCACGGTGGTAATGTATCAATGCACATGTGTATGTATACGTGCAGGTCAATTGGTGTAGTGTCGGTATTGATGTGATTGGAACGTTCATTGCATAAGTTTAATTCAATAATGCACAGTTATTGTGACCAGCTTACAGCGGTGAACTATTTTTGAAGTAGTGTATGTGCACAGCAATGTCACATCTTGCAGAGATGTTTTAGACTTGTAACCCTTATATTGTAAGTTAAAACTGATAGGTCGTGTGTAAACACTATTTTACTCTATGTTGAAAATAAAGTAGTGTGGACTGGTAATAAGTATATTAAATATTAGAAAACAAATTGCTTGGTATTTTTTTTCTTCTTTGAACTGCATTGCGTCAATGTTTTCTGATGCGTATTACCCGTATGGTGGCACAGTATTTAACCTCATTCCCAACCATTACACCGTGTTGACGAGTCATGCGGGATGTCATCGATCATAGAACCCTTCAACATTGACTGGCAAAGTATAAGGTGGCTTTATTCAGAAGTCCATTGACGGAGCTATTTTATATACTTTAACACGAAGGCTTTTGCGACCAATATCATCCATAATATAGGTTTCTTGGGTTAGATCGCGTAAATAGAAATGTGTCGTTAAACCCGCCACTACCCGACACAGTCAATTAGTAGAATTTGTCACAACACACCTGTGTGCTGTATTAGTAACGAATTGGCATGTTCTCTTTACGTAACAAACCTTACTAATTGGCTGTGTCGGGTGGTAGCGGGATTGGCATGTTCTGTTTACGTGACAAACCTTAATAATTGGCTGTGTCAGGTGTTGATGGGTTTAACGACACATTTAAATTGATCTAACCGAAAAAACTATTATGGCTGTTTCATATATATATACACATTTTATACTCGTAGTAAGAAAATGACACAAGGTGATTTCCAGAGCACACTTCTCCAAATTGTGTTGCCCATTTCCAACAAAGCAATCATCGTGCAAGCACAAAAAGCGTCCACGACGTACCTGTGATGCCGCCGCCGCGAAGCCGTTCGGCAGGCACCAAATCCCCGACCTCGCCACCACCAAGCAACGGAGCCGACCCCGCGTCCCCCTCACCTCACCTCACATGAACACACCCGCACTCATTTCCCCCCCCCCCCCCCATAGAGCTCCGAGGGGAGGTCGCCTGGCTGACCGGTTTTTATCCGAGAGACCCTTATCGGGATTAATTCTCACGGTTTCCGGCGATCAGGGAATTGGATGACCTCCCCCGTGCTACGTGGCACCGCGGCGCTGCGGCCGGCCTTAATATGGTGTGGTCGCGGCGTGGGGCATTCGGCCACCGCGGTTGAGGCGCATTTCCCCCCACACACACCCCCACGAGTCGACGGGGCAAGCAGGGGAGGCACGGGACAGCATGAATAGCGGGATCACAGGGGCTGTTGCGCATAGTCATGGAGGGTTGGGATAATTGCGCTTGAGCGCGCAGGCCCCATTGTTAGGGAGGGTAAGGGATTAATTAGGATTTACGCCTTGCACGCAGCACACTGATTAGCATATCAACAGCGCCCAGAACCGCCGTGCGCGTGCCAGAGGATCGCGAGCCCATTGTTTAGCGCAGCATCCCCTTTGAGGTAGGGAGGATAAATAGAGGGGCGCAGAGGGGAAATAGCCCCCTTCTCTCCAGGCCAGCAGACCAGCAGCAGCTCCAGCCAGCGACCCGGACGTCCGTGAGACGCATCGAGGTACGCTGTTAGCGCAGGGAGCAGCGAACCTCCGCGGGCGCCAAACTGAGTGGGGAGGTGAAGTAGGATAATAGTCGATAAATAGGGAATAGGTGCCGGTTTAGTGGAATAGGCCAGCCTCGTCGACTCACTGATTGAACATTAGTTACCGGGTAATAAATCATTAATAGCGAAGCGTGGTCTCGCGTGATCTTGTCATGCAGTGTGAGCGTGTGGGAACGCGTGTGGTACTGTGTGTGCGTAAGCTCGCGGCGTGCGTAATAGGCGTACCCCAGGTGCGCGATCATAACGTAAGCGGCCAGCAGACGGCGAGCGCTGCGCAGAGCGGCGCAAGAGTGGGTATCGCGTGTGGAGCTGTATGCGTGTGTGCGCGCACGTTCACTACGTGTATAATACAGGTGCGCGATCCTACCGTGAGTGGTCTGTATTGAGTGAGTGCCGCGCAGAGCTGTGTGTGGGTGTGCGCGTACGTAATTAACCATGCCTATTACGCGGACCCGCGGGGGAGGGGAATCCTCGAGCGACGGCTCTCACCCCATGGGTGAAGAACCCAACAGCGGTTCGCCTAGTAGCGAGGGGGCGACTAATGAGGTTAATACTGAGGTTAACCCGGCCGTTAGCGGTACAGAGGGAGGGATCTCGGGGGCCAGCGACCCCCACATACCTGGCATCAAAACCCCCCTTTCCTGGCCTTCATAGGTGCTCGCTAACAGCACTTGCACCAACAGTGTGTTAAGGCTATATGGGGGGAGAGGGGGGTTCTTTGACTTTGTGTGCTATTAAGACTGCGTTGGCTGGGTCATGTCGCCCGTATGCCCAGCCACCGCATGCCCAAGCAGCTTCTGTTTGGCCTGATAGAGGGGGCTAAACTAGCATGACACGGGCTGGATAAGAGATTGAGCTGATGCGATATGGGAGGATGTGGAGCTGAGTGTACTTGCCGAAGACTAGTACCAACGGGGTCAAGATCGGCTTCTGTGGAGGAGGCTCGTGAAGGACGCTACTGGGCAGTTAGAGGCAGTCACCCTCCAGCAACAACGGAGAGCAGAGAAGCGACGCTCACAACAACGTGCGGAGCACCGGGTGGCTGAATGCATCAAGTTGGCACAGTAGGGGTTACAGCCGTTGCATCTGCCAGTCATCTCAGCCAACACATTCACCTGGGTCTGTCCTGTGACCTTTCAGCGAGCCTTCGACACTTCACATGGCCTCAAAGTGCAACTGGCCTGGCACAGGCGCTGTTCACCATCACTTAGTGGTGAATAGCGGGTAATGGCACTATCAAGAAGGGCCATCCCCCCTCCCATTCTATACCTGTGTAGTGACTGACTCAGAGACACTAAGAGTAGGAGGCACTCTGTTTATTAACACGGCCTGACAGTAACACTTAGTAACTACAGTTCCCAGTGAGGACAGCTGGTAGACTTCCTGACTGGCGACGCTGAGATGGTGAAGACGGAGACGACGGTGAAGACTCCAGCAGCACGACAGGATCCCACGCCAAACGACAGCCTCGAGGTCCCCTCCTGGGGCCCCTCTTATACTGTCAGCGTGGCCTGGCTCCGCCCCCAGCCACGCCCCCTTGTGGAACCTCCTAGCGGGTTCTCGATGTGACCCTTCCGTGACCCTTCCCCTAGATCCCTCTCTGGTCTATCACGCGGCCTGCTGTCAGTCAGGGCTGCTGTAAGCTACAGATCCCCTTCCCTGCCAGCAGCCAGCGCTATGCTGCTACGTGACCGATTCTATGTCACTACACACCTGATATTGAAAAAGTTGAGTTTTTTTTGTCTGGTACTTGTAGTTGGGGGTTTATAGCTACAGCTCACCGGTGAGTGATAAGAACTATAACCGGTAAACTGCTTTCATAATCTATTACCGGTAAAAGGTTCAATTCCTGCAATGTCTTGCTCACGTCACTCGCTGCTGGTGGAAATGCCTCTACTACTCATTCCGTACCTGTCAACCCATACGGTTTACTCCATATTCTTGTACAGGGAAATAGAGTTTTCAGGTCCATATGGCGTACAGCCGTTTCAATACGGGCAATTAGTTTTGTCTATTTGCGTTTCTCCCTTTTTATGGGATTTTTTAGGAAGGACACTGATATTCATAAGGGCACGGGGTGACCAATAAGGTCTGAATTGGTCTGTAATAAGGGAGGCACTGGTGACAGGTATGTCATTCACGCTAGCCAGGTGTGTTAAAACTAATTTTTATTTTACCAGGTAAGGCCCACTGAGCTATATATAGCTCTATTTCAGAAGCGAACTGGCTATCGCAAATGTTAGGGGCCGTCCATAAATGACGTCACTCGATTTTGGACGATTTTTGACCCCCCCGCCCCCCATCGTTACATGGCGTCACAAAAAGTCAGACCCCCCCCCTCAAATATGACGTCACAAAGCTCTGCCCCCCCCCCCCTCAAAAAATAAAACATGCTTCAAATCGCTTAAAACTATTGTCATTGTAGTGCGTATTTAATGTGCCGCTGCTACTCTGATGTTGTAGGAGAAAACATTTATTAAAAAGTCTATTTAATTAAGTAGGACGTGTTGTCTATATTTATTTAAAGTTGCGCATTTTGATGTGACGTCACATTTCTCACCCCCCCCCCTCCTCGTCACACATCGTCACAAATGTCTGACTCCGCCCCCCCTAGGTGCGTGACGTCATTTATGGACGGCCCCGTAGTTCAACGAAGTGGCTTATCGTGTGGATATTTATAGCAGCAGCTAAATACTCTAATCACGCGACGTTAATTCTAAATGTTGATGGGAAAACCCGGGGGACCTTGAGAGATACGCAAATTCCAAATATACGGCGTCGTCAGGGTCGGGATCGAACTCACGATCTCGGGGGAGATGACATCTGGTAGGGTTGGCCGTACCCACACTTTACCCCATCACCACCACCCATCACCACCACCCATCACCACCACCCATCACTACCACCCATCACTACCACCCATCACCACCACCCATCACTAGCACGTGCGCGTTGCCCCCAAGTGTGCCGACGTCATCCGCCACGTCACGAGGCACAAGTCGCGGCGTGGCTCACGGGACGTCATCCCCCCACCGCGACTGCGCGGGGGGGATGGCAGCCGATGACGCGGGTCCAGGGGCCGGCCTAACGTGACGTCACCCGCGCGCGTGACGTCACGCGGGGAGTGTTTGTGTCGCCCGACGAAGCCGCAGCCTGGGGGCGTCGTGGCCGCCGAGCAGAGAGAGGCTCTCCCCGCAGCAGCAGCAGCAGGAAGAGGAGGAGGAGGGACCGAGACTACGACGCGCGCTCTCCGCGTGTCGCGGATTCACGGTACGAGGCCACCCGCCCCGTCTCTTGGCCGCCTCGATGGCAGCTGAGCGGGCGGCGCGGTGAGGCGAGCGAGGAGGCGGACGTCTCCTGCGCGGCCCGGGGGGAGCCGAGAGCCCCCCGCGCCCTCCCCGTGCACCCGCGTGAGCCACTGAGACACCGGGGGCCTTGAGACACCGGGGGCCTTGAGACACCGGGGGCCTTGAGACACCGGGGGCCTTGAGACACCGGGGGCCTTGAGACACCGGGGGCCTTGAGACACCGGGGGTCTAACACACGGGGCCCTG